CCGCACCATTCATGCAGAGATCCTTAGTAGTAGTAATGTCACTGCTCTTGTAGTCTATCCATTCTTCCTCCTGTCTGGGACTGGAGGAAGAGTCTGCAGGAGCCAGAGCATTGTATTCATGATCCACTGATCATTGCAATGCTATACTGACTCAATGGGGGGGGGGAATGCACCTTTTTAAAAAAAAGTTTATGAATATGTGCATTTATTTTGCATGTAATACACTTTTATCTCCCATGTATGGATGTCTTGACCTTGAATGTTCATATGTTCGAGTGCTTGTCCTATTGAGTTTGAGCATGGTAATATTGCATCTCTGTGAAACACAAGTTACCTTTTTTTAAGCGAATGACAATTAAATGCACAACATAAATGTTTCCCAAATAGCCACCATCCAAAATATACAGTGAGGAAAATTATTTGATGCCCTGCAGATTTTGTAAGTTTGCCCACCTACAAAGAAATGAAAGGTCTCATTTTTATCATGGGTGTATTTTAAATGATAGAGACAGAATATCAACCAAAATCCAGAAAACACACAATACAAAGGTTATAAACTGAGTTGGAGTTCATTGAGTAAAATAAGTATTTGATCCCCCCCAAGCAAAACATAACTTGGTGGAGAATCCCTTGTTGCATTTCTGCATCTGCAGCCTTCCTTTTAAACCCACTCCCCAATAGCTGGCCTTATTTTGTAAGGCTGATTTCCAGGCCTGCAGGGATCTGGCAGGCTGAGGCTGGGGAATTTTTGTGTTTTGTATCTATGGAGGCCCACCAGGGCCACCCTCTTCTGTGCGCTCCCAGGAAGAGTACAAGTGGTGGCATAACTGCAGGGACAGGCACAGGCAACCCAGATGTAATAAAATCACGCGGAATTGCAAGGAATGTGCATTCACAGTAACACTTTGAATAATGGGACATGTAGTCCCAAGGAAGGTTACTGTGAATGCACATACGAGACCAAAAGTTTAGGGAAGCAGTGCAGAGGGACTCGGAGGTTGCATCTAAAACAAAATTTAAAAAAGGTAAGTATTGCTAGACATTCTGTGGCACAATCATTTTAATGTGCTGAATTGGTGAAGACAGATTTATTTATGAGAAATAAAAAAGCCTCCAGTACTACTTTACTGCATGAACGGTGTGGCCTCACTATTTTTCACAACACACAAGTACAAAGTATTCATTTTTGTGTTGTGCTACAGTGTGCGGTGGTTTTGTACTGTATATGCACATTGGTGTGCCAGGCAAAATGGCACCCCACAGCACATTTATACTTTTACATTGGTGAGTGGTCCTATAACACATTTTTACATGTGCTATGAAAAATCTATACTGCAATCCAAAATTGTGACTCTGTCCTTAGATTGCACAGTGCAATGAAAACATTTTTCCTTGCTGCAGAAAAATCTAAAAATTTCTTGCAGAAGTCACAGGCTTGCAAATGGTAATTGGATTATAATTTATACAATTTTTACAAATGTATTAATCTGAAGATGTTATGTTTTTTTTTTAATCTCGCTACCACGCTCAATAAAACATATAATATTAGCGCCTGTTGAATTGCACCATGCTGGGCAGCGACACAAACATCCATTTTCATACTTTCATGGCTGCCTCCTTTTCAGCTGTTAAGGCTGTGCACTAGTCTGGCTGCTCCACATGTATAATTAGCAAATTATACATCAGCTGTTAGATAAAATTGTGGGCCTTGTCTAAAATTAGAGAAGTGGGGAAGGTATAAAAGCAGGAATCTGTAGCATCCAACACACGTTAGTTCTTGCCCACCCACGTTCTGCTCTCATCTCTGCAGTGACTGTGCATGTACAAAACACTTTTCAGTTCAGTGAACAGGGGGAGGCATCCATAGCAGCTGCACCATACACAGTTCTGCAACGCGAGTTTGTGTTTAAATCTATCATCTCCTATGTATTGACCACTTTGGGTGGTCCCTAATGATTTTAGTAAAAGAAAAAAGTTCTTGGCTCCACTTAACTAATGCAAGCAACAGGAAAATGTTGGCAAAATTGCTTCAAAAGTGAGTGGAAAAGCATTTAACATAGAAGCTGCTGCTCCTCCATATAATTGTACGTAGTAGGGATGCACCAATACCGGAAGTCCCATTTTTAAGGAAGCCAGGCAGCGTGTAATGACTCACTGCCCGGCTTCCTGCTTGGTCGGGCAGCTAGCCAATCAGAAAGCCGGGCGGCCAGTCACCAGGTGATGCAGCATGGAGCCGGCTTTTTGGCCAATTAGGAAGCTGGATTATTACCCGCTGTACGGTTTTCCTAATTGGCCGGGAAGCCAGCTCCGTGTTACCTTGCGGCACTGCCATTCAGAGGAAATCTCCCTCTGAGCGGAAGTTCCGGCATCGGGGGGGTAAATATCGGAGTATTTGGGCAAGTGCGAGTACTTGCCCAAATACTCAGTATTTGTGCATCCCTAGTGTTAAATTTTATGAATCGATTTCACAAGGAAGAACATAAAGCACATTTTCCCTATGAACTTGGTATACACCGTTCTCTAGTGACTTAGTGGTCTTAGTGCCATCCCTTTTGATAATAGCCTAATTGCTGGCCATCTTGGCCGCCTTATGTTGGGAATATGTTAGTATAAATTAGAAGTGCACCGAAACAAACATTTCAAAACAAACAAAATAAATGTCCGAAAATGTTTTTTTTATTCGTACTTTTTTAAAAATATTTTAATTTTTTCAAATATTTGTATTACTTTTAGGGGCTTCTGGAGAATATTGGGGGTCTAAACAGACCCCTGATATTTCCCTTTTTAAAATAGAAAGATTGAGTACACTGAGTCGATCTCTTTTTTTTTTTTTTTTTGCAGCCCCTGTTATAAATGAACAGGAATCCTCTATACTGAGTGTTCCTGTTCATAACATGTGGAGATAGTACATTTACCATGTCCACAATCATGAATCAACAGGAGGTGATGTGGATCACTCCCATTCATTCATAATTGAGGACACAGTAACCATACTATGTCCTCAATTATATATTACCACAGCAATCACTGATCGCTGAGTTTGTACTCGCTCTCCATCTTGACAGCTGTCACAGAAGGCTGAGCGAGCGGAGCTCAACCTCCTGTGACAGCACTGCAAGCTATCTCCACCCACACTGCTCTCCTCTGAGCTGTGATAGGAGGCTGAGCCATGAGGGGAGGAGAGACGCTGGCCGATCACGGCGCTCTCCTCCCGCAGCACTCGGCCACCCCCGACCTCCTCGCTGGGACACAGAGCAGCGCCCAATGGTGAGGAGAGTAAGAATGGATGCACTGCTATATCGGCCAGAAAATGGCACTTTGGGCATTTTGCCAGATGTTCCATTTTTGACCGATATATCGGTGTAGCTCTAGCATAAATCACTTTAGACAATCTACTACCATCTTAATGGAGATTTTGAAGGAAAAAAGTTCTAACTCCTAAGATTACAACATGTGCTTACCCTTCTCTTCATGGCCAGGAGCATCTAGTTGACTCCATTTTGTTGTCTGCTCCCCCTTTAGGCCAAGTTCTCTGCCTCGTCAGGTTTCAGATTTAGGTGTCGTTCTTACATGCAGTCTGTGGTCTGCTAACCATGCGCCAGTTCCGTTTTTGTTGTGCCTGGAGGAGATTGTTTCTATGTTGCCACCCCTTCAGATGGACTTATTTATGGACGTGGCAACAATATCTGAATTCCTGTGCCACTCCTATGGACGAGAAGGAAATCTAATATCTTTTTGTGTGTGAAATCCTTTACTTAGAGTCCATTGAGGGCCTCCGGCACCACCCCCTCTGTGTTTTATGTTCATGCTCTTGGTATTGCTTTGCCACACATTTGCATGACAGGAGTGGTAGAGGTTGTCCTGGGCTTTCCCACAACTTTTTTTTTTTTGCTTGCCAGTGTCTATTCTTCCTCTCGACAGTAGCTCGTCAGTGTCTGAATTCCTTTTCCTCTCAATGGATTCCAGAAACAGGTTTTTACAGTATGAAAGCAAGTAAATGGGATTTTTGTACATTTTTTTTTTTCTTTTTGTATTCCGTTCTCTATTTTCCCTTATTTCACCACCTTGATGTTGGTGGCAACTTCACCATTACAAATAGTGTGTTTTTTGTATCTGCCTACTGTCCAGACAGGATTTATTTAGGCCAGTATAAACAAGTATGAATGGAAAGCAAGTGTATATAGAACCTAAATATAGGAATAACTACAGCTAAAAATGACCCTCAGTACTAAAAGCAATTTTGTGGCACACTGTCATTTGGCTGGGTGTGGTGTCACTACTTGATTTGTAACTCAGTACTGAAAGCTTTTCCTTTGCTTTGAGTTGTACATGTTTTCATTTTGCTTATGTTTTCCTTTTAGATTAGAAATGTAAAAATCAAGTTAAACATGTTTCTAAGGCTAAAATCAAACCTTAAGTATACCATTTAAATACTAACAGCCAGTCTCGTCATTTGGGCACCCTTGATCATCAGTCCGTTTTGGTTTTAGGAATATATACAGTGGTACCTCGGTTCACGAATGCTTCTGATTGGAGGCAGCCATTGTTCAGGTAGTTTGAGAGTCAGCGGGGCCGACTAGCAAGATACTGAAGCTTGGCCCAGTGGGAGATTCCTCCACCCGCACAGTTTAGCGTAGATGGAGGAATCTGTTGCACTTTTTCCATCTGACCAGAGAAAATTTGCAGATCTATAGGTGTATGGCATGCTTAACTCTGATGCCTATTGGACGGCACAGGCACAGTTACACCCAGCAATACTTTAAAGCTGGCCCTACGCCGCAGGCTTAATCTCTGTAATGCTTGCATGGAGTGGCTGTACCTATGAGAATGTGGGCTGTGCTGTAATTGGGAGAATCCTATAACTGAATAGACAAAATAAAAAGGTTTTGGTGGGTAAAACCGCTCATGTATTTACTTCAAAGTGTTTAGCTTTTTACATAGAGTTTCAATTTAAATGTTCATAAATTGAAAATGTGTTTTTTTTTTTTTTTCTCTTGTAGTACTCCCTCCAGTCCTTGTTCCAAGACACAGCGAGTACAACCCCCAGCATAGTCTTCTGGCTCAGTTTCGTACCATGGAGCCCAGCGAGCCACACATGCCACACAACGCCACTTTTCCAGATTCTTTCCAGCAGCCGAACAGCCACCCGTTTCCACACTCGCCCAACAGCAGTTATCCAAATTCTCCGGGAAGTAGCAGTACCTATCCCCACTCTCCAGCAAGTTCAGATCCAGGAAGTCCCTTCCAAATCCCAGGTATGTTTTTGCTTTTTCTATTAGAGCATGCTAGAAACAATTAATTGCTGCCAGTTTTTCTATTGCCATAGCTGCAAATGTGATATGAATGCATATTTAGATAATAGTGCCTTTTAACATGTGCCATAGCTGCCTCTTAAGGCTAAATTCACACCATTTGCTCAACTTGCGCTAAATGCACATGGGTTTGTGTGCTGACATCTGTGTTGGTTAAGTTGATGTGCAGATTTCAGTCAAAATAGAGTACTTTTTTCTTTCGTTATGGAGGATTGCAGTGTGCTGGGATACATTGTAAACGATTGCAACACATAGCACTCCATTTAAATGTTCCATTTTAATCCCAGCACACACCATGGCAACACATTGGTGTGAACTGGGCCTACTGGAAGCAATGGACTTCGACTCGTGATTTGAGTTAGACCACGTATCCCAATTCAGCCCAACACACTTGTAAATGGGGCCCTTAGAAAACGCTCTCTGTAATGCATATGTAAGACCCTTTTTTTTTTTTTTTTTTTTTTTTTTTTTTTTTTGTGGTGGTCTTTTCTTGCCCAAACCCCCATAGTTGAGCTGAGTCATTTTGTTTCAGACAAACAATGCACATGTTATATAATTTAACTTAATGTATATGTAAAGCCCTTTTTTTTTTTTTTTTTTTTTTTTTTGATGTGAGGTTCATCTCATGCCTAACACTCTAATTTTTAAATATTGAAAGGGTAAATCCCAGCTCGCGGACATTTTTGCAGTAGAGCCAAGTCCATCCATTGCTGTATATTTGAGCTCTTGGACTGTCATTATGCTATTATGGACAGGCTGCTACAACAATAAATGGACATTCTTGTTAAATCCATTTGGCTATATATTGGAGATATACTGTATGTACGCGCAGAACACACTATTAAACTGAACTGAATGTCAGCGTTGTGGTTGTGCTTGCTTAGTAATGTTCCTCCGGTAGTATTGTCTGTTAAAGAGCTTTTCCTGGTAACATCTTTGACTAAATGTCAGATGGGATGTGTCGGATTAAATTAAAGGAATGTTTAGGAGGCTTGTATGTGTAAATTATCCATACATCTATTGGCCACTAGTTTGTAGCAGATTTTAAATGTTTTTAAAAGCCCTTGAAAGTAAGTGGGGGTTAACGCTCTATTAGAGAATGCAATTGGTGGAGAAACCGCGCAACCTTTTAGACAGAAAGCGATCCCCATCGCATCCACCCTGCCCTCCCCAGGCGTTCTGACCGCACAATCCAGCAGGGGTCTGCATAGCTGTAAAAACCCAACAGGGGTTATATTGCTTGACCACTCTAACCAAAACAAAAGTTGGTTTTGGCTGAAGTCATGTTAAAGGAGAACTATGGGGTCAGTGTTTTTACCCATAGTTCTCAGGGTAACGGGAGGACACAAACTAGCGTCCTCCCGCTACCCTAAGCTCAGTATACCGCGAGCTGCAGCTCGCGGTATACTGAGACGCCGGAGCAGATCCCGACATAGATGACGGGATCCGCCCAGCTGCGTGAGTGACAGCTGGCTCTGCCTATCTACAGGCCCCCGTCCGTTCCGTCAGTCAGCGCTGGGAGATCGGAGAGGGGAATCCAGCCCCTTTCCTGTCACAGCAGAGAGCCGTGACGGGATCGAGAGGTGAGTGAACGCCGGTATCTGTTCGCTCACCTCCCGATCTACTGAGCCGACCTGTGACAGTCTCATTGTCACAGGTCGGCTAGAACTATGAGGTGAGTGGAAATCACTCACCTCATAGTTCTCCTTTTTTAAGTTGTATTCACAGCAGTGTTAAAGGACTGTTTTTCTCTTCGATATCTAAGGGCATACATCTAAGGGATATACAAAGGGCAGAGCAGACTTCCATCGACTGGCTTGGACATGCGGGGGGGAGAGAGAAAAGAGTGTCTTGCCTTGTCTGTTTGTAGAGAGACACCCAGCTTATCACACAAGGGTAGCTCCATAGGACCCTGCAAAGGAAAGGAGCCACCCTAAAACAGGATATCAGGGCCAGTGCTCGGGGCACCAAGCTGATTCTTCATGAAGCTAAGACTTTTAAACCTCAAGGGACAGCATCCATTGTACATGATTTAATCAGCATTTCAAACATAAACGCCTGTTGATTTTAATATCACTTTAACCCCTTAAGGACCAAAGCCTTTTTGTTTTTTGCACTCCTTATAATCCACATTTTAGGCCTGAAAATTACTTAAAACCCCCAAACATGATATTATCTGAAAGTTAAGACCCTGTAGAATAAAATGGCGGCAGTTGCAAATTTTTATGTTGCACGATATTAGCACCACTTATTATTAAACCCCAAAATTTAGTGAAAAATGCACTTAAAATTGAATGCCGCAAAGCACGATATAGTACCCATTTTTTCCTGAAATATGAAAAGAGGAGGTTACAACAAGTAAATACTTGACATGCCCAGGTTAAAAATTGTGTGCAACTGTGAAACTTCTACAAAATTCAGTACCTCAAAAAGTCCATAGACCATGTTTTAAAAGCCCCCACAAGTTGTTACTTTTGAGATACGCATAAACATTGGCCCTAGGATTATTGCCGTGACTCTGGTGTGCGCAGTGATACCCAACATGTGTAGCGCAATAGTCTTTTTTGACACATGTTTACGTGAAAGTGGGGGATGGGAGCAATTAAACACTTTTTTAAAATAAATGTAAAAAAACTTTTTTTTTTTCTTCTAATTGTCATCACATAGTGGCTGCCACCCATGTGATAGAATTTTGGCAGTGAAAGGTCCTCTTTAAAGTTATACTGGGGCTCCAAAAGACCCCTATAATCACTTTCCACTTTAAATAAGCTATTGAAGTGCAGATCGCTTTTCAATAGCTTTTTGCTCGGCTTCAGGGGCACTGACAGCACAGGGGCTGGAAGTGATGTAATGTGCATTGGTGGGGGGCACTTTACCAGCCCGTAGAAGCGATCTGGCAGCAGCTGAGTCACCAGAATCGCTTCTATTGTAAAGCTGACTGCCAGCACTACAAATGTAAACAGAGGGCGGCAGTCTGTTTTAAAAACCCCTTGAGGACCCATGGCGGAATAATCCCGTTATGGGTCTTTAAGGGGTTAAGAGCCAACAAAAGCTAACTGACACATTTTTAGTTTAGGGAAACAAATGGTTTGGGGCCAATCTTATTTTAATCTTAATATGCTCTTTTCTGTGCATAAAATCTTTATTTTAAAAGTAAATATTTAATGCAGGCTGCACACATGATACTGGATTTAGAGCATTATGGTTCTCCTAAAAGGGGTTAAGAAGCTTAACTAAAACTTCACTTAGCTTGACTAAAGAATTTAGTGGTGTGTGTGTTTTTTTTTTTTTTTTTTTTTCTTTTTTTTTTTTTTTAACTAAAAATAAGGTATGTACAAAACCACTATGGGGAACATTTTATCAAGCAAATTGGCAACATAATTAGTCGCAAACCAGGCCGCCTCTCTTTCAGAAAGTCCAACAGGTTTACAGACCTTTGCATATGTATTTCAGGGCAGTCAAGTGCAACAGTTTTTTGCAAAGTTCTGGGACCAAATTACTGAAGATGAAACTCTCAAACAGTTGCATAATTAAGTGACCAGGTCAGGTTTTATTCTGTTGCAGTGCTACTTTAGTGCAGCAGAGGGAGGAATTTGACTCTTGCTGTATACTTGAAATAAATCTCAAATTGTCTCACTGCTGGCTGTATACCATGCAACAGCATTGATAAATGTCCCCCTTTTGTACTCTCTTGATACTTGGTAAATGGCTTTAAAGTGTAGTCCCACTTTTGCAGTCAAATTTGGTAAAACCCCACTACATGTTCACAGCATACAGAAAAATAATTTGTAACAAGGTTTTCTGTTTTTGCTGTCTATTTGGGGAAGGCCTTTGTGCAGATTCCAGGCTGCTCTGAGCAGTTTGAAAGTAGAGGGACAGACTAAGCTGCTTCTCTTTAACATACAATGCTTTTAAGTCTTTAACGCTTTGTTAGGACAGAACGTGTTCATATCTAATTTACAACTGATAGAGATCTGCCAGATATATAGAGATCTAATTTACAACTGATGGAGCACAGTACAGGGTGATTGGCATAAACCTAATTGTCCACAGCCTCCTCCCTAACGTTAAATAGGAGGGAAGCTAGGAAGCATTTTTTAAGCACGTAAAAAGCACATTGTAAGTGTGTAAGTATATTTCCACTTGCAGCCAAATTGACATTTATATATATATACACAAAGTGTAATTCTGCTTTTGCAGTCAATTTTGAGAAAACGCCACTGTGTTTGTGTTGTACCTTGTTTTGGTGAAGGTCTTTGAAGTTTCTAGTCAACTCTGATCAGTTTGTCAATCCGTTTGACTCTATACTTTTCACTTTCTGACTGAGCGTCTCTCATCGACATACAATGCTGCTAAAACCGGGAATATACATTTTGAATTTCGGCTGGTTCTTGATGAACAGGGTGAAATTAAATGCATGGGTGCTGCTGTCGGCACCTTTCTGACCGGCATCCTTCAATCAGCTGATTGAAGGAGCATGTCAGAAAGTTGTCGGATAAACAGAGCCAGAAGCCTATGAGCTGCCAACTCTGTTCGGGTGTTCTGATAGTGGATGGTGGCCACTGGTCGTAAGTGTTAATGGAGGAAACTGTTCTGGTTTCTTCATTCAGGCAGCAGGTCGAACACAGACAATAGAAGCATGTGTATACAACTCTAGTTGTTAACCCTTTGTTAGGACAGACTGTGTTCAAATCTAGCGTACAACTGATGAGATCTGTCAGCTCAGTACAGACATGGTTAAGTAGAGTAAACATAACTTCCCACAGCCCCCTCCTTAACCTTATGTGGGGGGGTTGGGGAGGATTTTAAGCAAGTAAAAAGCACTTGAACTGTAAGCAGCAGGTTTTTTTTTTTTTAATAAAGTTATGCTATATGAATGTGAACATGTAACAAATACATGTTGGTGTCTTGATTTTTATTGTGTTCAGTTCTCGGCTTGTGTAAAAGTCTTTCAGTGAGCACAGGTCAGGTCACAACTCACAGGAGTTGACTTTCGGTGAATCTATCGGTAGTGTTTAATTCAGTCGTTTCCTGGTTTAAATGTTTTTCAGCGGACACCCCTCCTCCAGCTTATATGCCTCCTGAAGATCAGATGACCCAGGACAACTCTCAGCCAATGGATACAAACATGATGGTGCCTCCCATCTCTCAAGAAATCAATCGAGCAGGTACTTTATCCTGTTTTGAAAACCTAGACTGGTCCATAAATGCTTTCAATTTTCTTTCTCTGGCAGGGTGGCGTTTTACTGATGTGTTCATCAGTAAAACTGCAGAGCAGTTTTTCAATACAAAGCTGGCCCAGCCCTTTATAAGACTAAAGCTAGAAAAAGAAAGTTGTCTCCTTATTCTGGAAGGGGTTGGGTAATCCGATAATCCAGGCTCTGACAGACCCTTAACAAGTTTACTGTTTAAAAAGTCATGGAATAAGCTGCATGTTTCAGACTCTTTCCAGCCACCCTTCCCCGACATCTCAACAGAAGAATTTCTGAAATGTATCCACTTGCCTTAAATAACCAGAGGAAATGGCTCACATTTTTGATGTGAAGTTTTGTCTTTCTGACTTTTCTGCTGAGTTGGGAACTTTGCATCCTCTTTTTTAAATAAAACACTGCTGTCATAATGACATACAGCAACTCCTACATGAATGCGAGCATTGTTGTCTTGGATAGACGACCTTTGCCCTACCTCTTAAAGTGAAACGTTTAATTTGATGGCTTTAACACTGATATCTTTATTTGAATGTTACACATTTAGAGTTGTCTGTTTTCATTTTCTGTTTTAGGAACTTGTTATGTAGTTCCCGTGGGAACTGTTTTTTTTTTTTTTCTCTTGGCCCGAAAGTTGTTCCTACTTCCCTTTCTTCACTTCACTGCTCAACACCCAGCATTTCATGGCAGGTCATGTGCTTAGGTACACGATCATGGGACCTTTGTAGAAAGCTGTCAGCATTGTACACAACTGTTGCACTGAATCATAGACAGTCATCCCACTGGTGTTAACCTAACAGCTTGCGGGAAGTAAAGCATCTTTTTCACAACACTCAAATTTTAACCCAATCTGAATTTTGTACAAAAGGACCAGCGTTGGCAGTTAATACACAAAAGGCAATTTGTTAGTACATGAGAGCATGCTTAAATGAAGTCAGTCCATTATTGAAGAAGCAGGTTAAAGCAAACCTGGGGTGGCAAAAGCTTACCTGAACCCTCTGCTGGCAACTTCAAGTTAGTTCTCTGGCAGACAAAGCCTGGTGCTGCACATCACCGGCACATAGTTATTGGTGGTGTAAGTGGTGAGAAGGGCTATCAGAAGGATGGGCCAGTACTGAAGCTTGGGTAATAAAAGAACCTGAGCTGCACAGGAAATGGAATCAATATCCGCATGCTGGAATTTGGGCGTCTGTAGAGACCGGACATGCATCAGGGGGATGCTTGCTGTGTGGTGACTGCAACTGTTTGGGTACATTTTGATTTTACTTTTATTTCTGAGTCTTTGCTCACATCTTCAAGTGCACTCTTTGCATTTTGACTTTGTGGAAAGCAAATAATTGTAAATATAACGGAAATTATTGTAACTTGCATTTTACTACAAGGTCAGCTCAGGATTTTTTGTTGTCTTTCATGTAGAATGATGGACTGCCTCCTCTAGGTTGATATCAGTTGGGCACTTTTCAGCAAAAAAAATGGGCTGAAAATCTCGGCTTATACTCGAGTATATACGGTAGTCTGCATATAGGCTTGATTCACACTCAATGCGTTGGGGCTGCACTGGCTGCTTTTTCTATTGCAGCCCCAACACAAGACACGGTGATTTGCCTGGTCACATATGGGCACAGTTCACACTACTACAACGCCATGAATTGCAGTTTTGTGCAGTACTATTTTTCAGCACAGCGGGCAGTGACTCAAAATGGCACTGCGCTGTGCCCAGGGAATGTAATGAAATGTCACTCAAAG